TGAACCCTCAACAGTCTGCAGAATCCCCTCACTGATTACACTGTAAATGATAATCGACCTTAACCAAAATCGAAGTAGACTATCACTCACCCACACCAGATGGAAAACTTTACAGACTGTCGTAGGTTCACACCCCATCACAAGCCAGCAAAACATCATAATATATGTTTATTATTTTTTCATTTTATTTGTTATTTTAAATTTGGTGAAGTTTTCTTTTTCCCCCAAAAACTACACTATACTCTTCTCTCAAATCTTTCATCATCTTTCAAATTCTTTCAATTCACCTTCACTACCTACCTACCACTACTCCTAAGGCTTAGACCCTGAGGCAAAAGTTGTTCAGTTTATTTTTCTGCATAACATTTCTTTTTCAGGTTTTTTCTATTTTGTTTTCTCTGGGACTTCATTTGGTCCCTACACGGCCGGGCCCGCCCGGGCCAACAAGGTGACCTGGGCGGCCCGTCTGTTAGCCTAGGCTAAGGGGGGTTAAAGGGGGGTGCCTTAGTGTGATTCTGTTATTTTCTTTCTTACCTCCGATGTGACCCTCAGCCAAAAGTCGTTTATATTGCAATTCTACAACATTTTTTTTCCGGAACTTTTTATTTTATTTATTATTTTGCGTTGGGCCTGCCCGGAACCCTACCCGGGGCTCACGTCTGACCCGGCACCCGGGCATGCATCCATGCGTAAGTTGGGTGCCCGGGTGCCTGGAAAAAGAGGCTAGCCATTTTCTTCTGTTTATTGATTTTTTTAAAGAAAAAAACGATATATTACTGGGCTGATTGGCCGTGCCAACTCTGAACCCACTCTCGAAAGTGCAGATAAAAATATTTAAATAAAACCAAAAAAAAATGGTATATTGCTGGGCCCATTAGCCAGGACAACTCTGAACCCACTCTAGAAAATGCAGATAAACATTGTCATCAACGGTCCAGTGAGACATCCCTTCCCCCCCCCCTTATGCTATTTCACCAATACTTTGCACTGCTTATCAAAAATTATAGAGGTACAAAAAAGAGCTTGTGAGCCTGTACATCCTTGTTTCCAAAACCCATGCCTGAGACTGAGCTGCTTTTTCTACCTTTTTCGTTGCAAGGGTAGGGGGTAGGTGGGGATTCTAAAGGGGTGTGAAAGAGTTGAAAAGGGGTTTCATGGGTGTTCAGCACGTCTTTCCGATTTGTTTGGAGAACAAATTTGGTGAGAGACTCTGTAGTAGTCCAGTTGCCTAAAAAAAAAAAAAAAAAAAAAAAAAAAAAA